TTGTCTTCTGGACTACAATGTCTTTACTCTCCTTATGGTTGTTCCTGTGATAGCCTCATATCTGTTCCGCAAGTTTGAGTAGAACTGCTAACTGGTCAGCTGTAAATGCGATATACTCACATGTAATGTTGAGGAGTTCATGTAAACCCTATACCATTGCTCGATTCATAAAGACAGGTACGGCTCGCACAGCGGACTCAGCGCCTGGAGATGGTTATCATTAATATTAGCACCAGGAGCAATCAAATCAACGCCAGTTGAAAATCACTGTTATCGTCACCATCATGTACAGCAATACATCACTAGTGGAAAATAGTGCCACACTAGCTGCCGCAAAAGAAGAAAGTAAAAGAGAGGAATGTGGACTAATAGTAAACGGCCGAGAGCTCGGTGCTTACACGTGCCGCATCGACAGGCGACGGTGATTCTTCTGAAATCCAGAGCTTATTTAGTGAGCATTCATAAACACCATAAATGGTTTACCGATTGCTTCATCAATAAATTTGGTGCCTATCTCAAGCTGATTATGATTGACGTCTTCCGGAAATGTGGCCCTTAAAGCGTTGCGCGGTTCAGTTTGAACAGGTTTTCTGATCCGTGGATCAGAAATTATCGGTTTTTGTCTGGTTCATGGATGTGTGAATGGAAATACTGCCAGGGTGCCCAAATACTGATGGAGAGACGATTAGGGCCTTCAAACGAGGTCTGGCTGAAAAACCTGAATGCAAGTTGACTGCGGTTGGCGTGAGACTACCAGAGTAGTGCAACTCCCAATTAACACATCGTGTGCCTGGAGGGCCAGGAGAACATGTTGATCTGACATCCATCCATATACCAAACTGGCAGGTTTCAGTATAGCTCAGTGGATTACAGAGATCCATGAGCCATTGTATTGCGATAAGGTCCAGCCTCTACGCAGCGGACTCACGAAAATAAACCCTGGACTTCAGAGGTCGCTCCCCGATGCGGGAGGTCTAATACTTAAGGACAACTTAGGCAGAACCTATCAACTTACATGGTTGTCGGGTTTCACTGCTGTAGTCATCCTGCGGGATACACAGGCTACAACTCAGTACAACTAGACTAGGAAGACCAAAGGAGAAAGGCGACTACCCAAACTGTGAGAAATCTCATCAAGAAGCATTCCGGAGGCACAATCTTACTGTCCTCTGAGATAGGAATGTGAAGGCGAACAGGATATCTACATTTATGGAGGTAGCGGTGCTTCTTTTTCTCGAGAAAGGACGGGCTAGGAAGTCGGCTCAAAAACTGGACACTCCGGCTGCCGTTATTGACCGTGACTCCGCATTATTACTTTTGAAACCGGAGGCTCATGCATCTCAGAAGGCGCACAGTGATTAAGACAATGATTCCTTACTTCCCGCATCCTCAGACCAAACCACCCCGCTGCAACCAAGTGGGTCATACTATTGAGTCATTGGCTCCTGGAAGGGTTTCTCAGCAGAATCCTAAACATTGTCTCGCGGTTCAGAGGCTAGAAGAAGGATCTCTGAACAATAATCTATATGCTCCAACTGTCTTTTGGGTCAGTTTTTGTGTCAAAAGCTCAACATGGGGTACGACTTCTTTGATCTAGGCAACCGGGTAGTATTATTCGCTCTTGCAGCTCTCATCACACGCCCTTATACCAAGTACTTCTGAGTCATTTACTTGTCAACCACCTAACCGTCACCGGCATTTGCCCAGTGAAATAAACCAAAATAAACCATTATTAAATTCAACGGATGTTCCATATTGTTGCTTTCAACGTCCGCACTGTATTAAATGGGGGCGACAAGTAGGTCTGACACAAGTCTTCTTTCTTTCGTGTCTCCGAAACAATATCCCATTTCGGTCATGGATTTAAAACTGTTCAGGATGAACGCGTAATTTCCGCACCTTACTATTCCGGTGTCTAGTGGCCCCGATGTAATGGCTCCACGGTATCTAGGGCGGGAAGTTGTGCTGAGTAGCAGGGATGCATGGTCTCTACATAAGTGGATTCCAGTGAATAAGCGTCTTTGTGTCATTTAGTTGAGTTGTTCCATTAGGGTCAACGCATCTGGACTCGGTAACCGGTGTCCATTTGTTGTGTCAGTATACGCTTCGACAGATTACACCTGTGAGGCTGAGAAAGCTCACATCAAGATCTGTAAGGGTTGCTTCAGTCGGCGAGAAGTGCAGATGTGATTCTGTCTAAGTCGGCCGACCAAGTCCTGATGAACCCATCTCGGTGGCCGATTCGGAATTGACGCTCGCCGCGTAGATAATGGAAAACGATTTCTGCAACCATATGATGAATATCCTTCGTTTCTAGCCAGCATAAGCACTCACATCATGCGAATCGGAAACCACCATATGCAAACCAGCCGTGGACTCAGCTGGATTATGTGGAGAGCATCGACAAAAGGTTATCGTTCATCTTAAAATACACCACTGAACTCTGATCAGGGCATTGTGAAGACACTTGTATCCACTCGCCTCCGCTCGGCAATGCCCCAGTTGATGCGAGGCTACCCAGTACACTGCCTTCAAGCATCTCTGTGGCCAAATACTCGAAGTGAGTTTGTTGAAACACTACCAAAACTTAACAGCCGCAATAATAGTGACTTGTGTACGACTGGAAAAAGGTTAAAGAAGCAATGATCATAGCTTTTGAAACCGAAACTGCTCATACACTCCACTGAACATTGGAACTTGTCACGATCAGCAACTCTCACTGTGGCCATAGCAACACCGAACGACTATGGTGGCGCACATATCCTCCAAAGGCCGAACAACGAAAAATATTCGGAATGACAGACAGCGCTAGTGGATCCTAAAAGCCGAGACGAGACACATCAGATGATCAGTGACTCTGACAGGTATGGGTATGCCGGCACCAAATAGCAACCATTCATCAAAACCACCGCCTTCACTGCGTAGCTTTCTCAATTCCTGCCATGCCGGAGGACGTTAACGAACTGATTCAGTCATTCCAACGCATAACTCCCATCATATTATTCTCCTTATCCCCGGCGAACGAAGCTGTAGCAACTGGAACCACTGTATTCTGATGCATGGTTTGTAGTTGAAAAATTGAACTAACTGGTATGAGTGTAAGCCCCATTCCAGTCGAAGTATGGTTGTTAATTTCAACAATACCGTTGCGTCTGACCTTACCAGGAGAGAAACAAGTCCCGGATGATCAAGAAACATTTTGACCAGGTAGAAGGTGCACCGAGCATTTCTCGGAGGGGTCGGGAATCTAGGTGCCGAAACCACAACCAGAGAAAAATTGATAGATTTCAATCACGTGTCTGCACCTTCAAAATGCAAGATCTCACCTCACAAATTCCATGTACCCCATTAAAGCCGCAGAAAGTGGAGCTCGAGTTTGGTAGCTTCATAGGCTGTGACTGCATTGGCAGGCGAATTCGGTGCACGCATCATCTGGGTGTAAACAATCCTTGACGATTTGCGATACACTGGGTTAAAGGGCCGTGTCTATAAAAGGGCCATGGGAGCATTCCTACTATATGGCTGTGAAACTTGACCCCGCCTACATAAAAGACTCAGACATCTTCGGATATTTATAACCAGTCACCGTAATATAGTAGGTGTTAACTGGGTGCAGCGTGTACACGATAAAACTGTCCGTGGGCGAGTGCTCGGTAAGGAAGTTTACCAGATTGTGCTTGGGGTGTATATTACGCATGCCCGAAGCGGTGCACTGAAGGAAACCGTATTTTCCAGTCCAAAGCCCTATTGGCGAGAGGTTTGCGGAGGAGAGGCCGTGGCGACGCGAAATGAAAGCAGTTACTGTGGAGTTGAAGGCTGTGGGATCTTCGTGTCCTCTTATCGTACAATGTCATTACCTAGACACAGCAAAAGCTACCGACAGTGTGCACAACACACCAGAGCAGCTTGCTGGGACGAGGCCATTAATACGGATGCGGGGCAACAGATATGAGCGATGGAGTGCTATCAGCCATTTGTTCGGATACAAGATTGAGTTGTATTTGGCTGGGATCTACAGGACAAGGGGATTAGGAGATAATAGTGAAAGATGGAAAGTCCCAGCAGTAACCTGTACTCGCTTACCCACCCTGCTGTATGCAGAAAGACAACCCAACTGATGACACCACTTGACAGCCGACGTAGCGTGAAATTATTGGTATTAATACGGCTCATGGTTTTTTGAGCACTGAACTACTGTCAGGGTGTCAAAACGTGGACAGTCGGACAATAATGGCCCTCAACCAATGCCTTTGGCTCAAAAGCCTGACTGCAGGCAGCGGTGGTCAGCATGAGAATATTAGTCTAACTTATAGGGAACATGGACAATAATCTCAACCAATGCCTTTGGCTCAAAAGCCTGACTGCAGGCAGCGGTGGTCAGCATGAGAATATTAGTCTAACTTATAGGGAACATATCCCACACGTGTTCGAAGCCCAGGAGGCCAGCAGTTACGTAACCTGGTAGGAGACACCGCGGATGTCAATTGGACGACATCCAGTATAGTTCAGTGGATTTTTGAGTGCGCACGCATAACAACGTTCCCGTTCTTCACACCATATGTCATCAAGTAATCGAACTTGACCCCAGAAACAGCAAAGACAGACGGGAGCCTGAAATATCTATTCGGTTTTAGGAGATACACTGCGTGATTTAAGCCGGAAATACGATTAACTATGCAAATTTCATCAATTCATTGCCTCTGTTTTGCTCAATGACGCTAGAGATTCAACCTAACACAACGTAAACGAGGTGCTACAAACTAAAACAGTTTCGGAACAACTGCTGCCACTATATGTTTACAGAACCGTAGCAGGCACAGTCGTTCGTCTATCTTGCGTGCATACGTTGATAATTCATCAGAAAAAACACTGGATCCAAAAGTTTCGAACCCAACACACGTTAAACTTGCTAACACGGTTATTTCCAAGAGAGATTTCAGAAATTCAGTGTCTCACACCTTGACCCAATGGAGAAGGGAAATGCAAATAGAAGTAACAGATTGGACTTTTTCTTTTTCGGGCGTGTATAAAAGCAGACGGTTCCCACGAATAAACATAATAGAATAACGAGACAACGAGGTGGACATGGAGAGACCCTCAGATTATTGAAACAGTCTGTAGACAGTAGCAAGACAGCGAGAACGAGCGTCTAGTAGAATCCGGAATCAGTTCATAATCGCGTTCCTAGTGTAGCTGGAGTGCATTGATCATGATCAGGCATGTGGTTGCAACTGTACAAACTACTACGAATTGGATGAGTACGGAGAGTGCGGTGGTGGGTTCAAGAAAGACAACAAAACATTGAGAAGATTCACCGAGGTAATTGCCCGACCAGTCGAATTCATTCAGGCCGCAAAGGTAAATAAACGGGAAGCTCGCGTAGTTCCTTACGTCCTTTGAGAACTGCCACCAAAGAGGCAAGAACTGGGCCCGCTCAACCCGTTTTCAGACAGGATGCCGCGTTTAGCTCTCTTTGACGGCGAAGCGATACCAACAGGCGAACCTTTAACGGTAACGAAAAAGTAACTCAGCATAGGAAATGTCTTAATGAGAATTTGGTGAAATTTTTTCCGTTGTGGAGTGAATGGCTTGTAAGGTGAGCTTCCGACTATAGGAGGGAGCGATACTATTACAAAACTGCACGTGCGGACAGACAGTCACAGACACGTTTTCTTGACGGTGGCGATCTAAATCACTTCGATTTTCACTGCGTTGGATTTATGATCTGAGCTTAGTCTGACGTAGGCTCCGAGACCCCGAAAGGGTTAATAACCATGGTTGAGGTGGTGGTCGTCAAATTTCTTTGTATGATTAACACGATTTAATAGGACAATACACATACCCTGTTTCTTATCACCCTTCTTCATCTATGAGCCTGTGCAGATGCTGCTGTTGCACACTTCGTCATAACGTCAGTTTTCTTCCCGCAATTTGTCGCTAAAATAAGGTTCGTTGCACTAGAGAGACTGTATGACTGAGTGCATGATATCGTGACGGTGAATACGTCGTGACAGTAACGCTTGAGCTTTTTGTTAGTTCTGATTAATTTGCCTTGCACTACCAGATCACCCCCTAGTGGCTTGGGATAACACCTGCAGTTGGTTGGTGACAGTCGACACGGATGTGAATCCGCCTAGCGCACTTACTCACATGATATATCCACTGGAACTTGCCTGCTGACCCAGACAAATCTAATGATGCATGCCGGTCGTGTGGAGGGGCAAAACGGTACTTCAGAGGAGAGGGTGTGGACGTCAATTAGTGAGAAACATGCGCACAAGCCAAAGCTACTGTAAAATCGACTGTGGTCTTGTGATAGAGACGAATTGTTCACTGTTAGATCAAACCATTACAGAGCAACTCCGCTTACTGAAAGGCTACTTTGGCCTTCCTAGATCATGTTACCAGCACGTCAGTTAATCTAGACCAACCAGATTAAGCTTCCTAACACCAATGCCAACAAGTAACATGATGTTGAGTTTACCTTAGTGTCATGCGTACAATCCGTGCATCACAGCCCTTTGCACCTTCTCTTGAATCTTACTTGTCCAGACACGTAACAATTGTCATAATGTCCCATTATATTCTATAATATATCAATATTCTTCCAAACATGAAGTTTTTTAATTAGGCTTTACAATCGGTTGGATGCGTCAGGCCTCCTGCTTCCACAGTATGTTTCCAAAGCATATGCAGAAGAGTCAGCCGAACGACTGAAATCGACCGATATCACTCACTTTAGGATTTCCGAATTCCCCGTCCACCCAATTGTGTTCGGCTAGATAGGTTTGTGTTGCTGTTTAGAATTGCACGGTGAGTAACCGCAGCCGAATGGTAGATCTAACTAACCGGTTCGGAACATGATTACATGATAGGCACCGTCTATATGTCATTCGTTAGCTACGGACCACTTCCTACCGGCTAATCGGTTAACATTCATTGCTGTCCAATCCATGGCTGCTGCTCTTGCGGGGGTAAGTGAATAGGAGTCTAGGTATTTCATGGATTGGGTAGTCCATACCTTGTATTGGATAACTCTACGAATAAAGGCAACTGGTATGTCCCGGAAAAATAGTGGTTTGATGGCATTTAGACTAAAGAAGAATACGGTCGGCTGAACACCGATAAAATACCATGCACATCAGAACGGGTTATTGGGTGCACGCCATGAAGAGAATCCGTGTAGGGGTTTCCATGAAACATGCATACAAACGAAAGCACGCGGCCACTTCACCAAGAGCGACAGAAATCCAGCCTTTGGAAACGAGAAGGTACACAAAGACCTACCTGATCTCAGCTTTGGAAATGCCGTCATGTCTGTGATATCTACTGATGTAGGATCCGGTTTCTCCGCATCTTTAGACTTGTTAAGATGAGCTGAAGAACGTTTTTGAGAAGATCCCGATGTGACATGATAAAAGTCTCCCATATCGTTTGTTAAACCACTATGTATCGCCTCGGGATTGGGACCGACCGATGACCGCGGACTAAGGGTAGATGAGCGAAGTGGAAAACTTTTCACAACATGTTGATAACCTGATTTGCATATTTTGAAACTCTACTCGACCTTATCTAATGGCGCAGTCTTTGGTTAACGGTCATGAATATTGTGTTCAAAACAAGGTTAGTCTGTGTACGAGACGATGAAGACAAACGACACACAAACAGCAAACACACTGAACCCGGAACCATAGTTTAGTTAAAGGTGAAAAACAATGGTGTATTGTGGACACCAACCATAAAGCGACAAAAGTGGGTGGAACCGAATGGGAAGTATCAACTTACTGAGAGCTGCGTGTTAGACGCCTTTCAACGCCCGGAGAGCCGGCACTCCAAACAGGCATAGCAGAAAGTGTATCATCATCATCAGTGTTTTCCACTCGCGACCGACGAAACGGTGAACGACTCGTGTCACCTCTGGAGGCTTTAGGATGAGCCTGCAATGTATCTTCCTCGTCCTCTGGTTTGACTTGAGGATACAGAAAACTTTTTGATCGAGTGCCACATCGAAGTGTGGGGGAATTAGTCAGTTTGTGTATGTTCTTAAATTCGGTGGATAAGCAGACTGATGGTGCGTCAATTGGAGCAATGTTTTCTCCCTCGTGGTCAGAACTAGCGCCACTCAAACTGCGATCCGGAGTCGACTGTCCACTAACATAAGACGAGGCAAGTGATCGCCAGCTCTCCTCGAAACTGTAGGAAAATGCAAAACACAAGCCACAATTCAACTGAGATTGAGAAATCGTGAAGTATGATGGTAGTAGGGATGTGATGGATCAGCATAAAACGAAGTGTGCAACATGCGAAGAAAGAGAAGTAGTGCCAGATGGAAACAACGGTATTGATGTGGGGAGTGGAAATTCGGAGAGCCGGTGAATCGTGTTTTAAAAACCGAAGCGATTCGGCATTCAGGAAATGTGGCTAGCGAGGAAATCTACTGGACACACTTTCTGGTGAGAAAATCAGTATCATTAAGTCTAACAGTAAGAATGGTTGCGAATAAAGTTAGCTGGTCGGGTAAGTGTTGTCTGGACTTCGGCGGAGGATGATATAGGCCATTCGTATCTGGTCAATCCAACTGGTATTAAAATAGCTACAAAACGCAGCGAGTGAGCAGCTAAAACCGATTATGTGTACGCTCTTCGAACGTATCATTAGGGCCCGGGCTTGATCAGTCACTAAAACACTAGATGAGGTGACTTCAGTACGCCAGCTGGAATGCTGAGAAAAAACATTACCATTTTTTTCTGTAAGGCTAATACTCCCGTATACATTACGTAAAAACCACTCTTTCGGCTCCTAGCCACTAAGTGTTGGGAAAGAGAAAACTTCCAATTCGGCCGTATTTTCATCGTCATTCAGCTTTGAGCGCTGGCAGAACCGATCGTCCCTAAGCTGGTGTGGAGGCTTTCATTAGCTGCTCCACAGGACCAACGGCGATAAGGCTGTTTCGTACGATACACAAACACTGTAACTGAATGAGATAAAATTTGCACTGCATGTACCAAAAATACAATACAATTACGAAGGCTTAACCGAAGCAACACGACCTCGGGAGTAGCTGAGATTTAGTGTGATGTCTTTTTAACGGGACGATATGCATAGGCTGTGAACGTAACTACAAGACGAAATCCATGTCAGTATAGGAACTGGAACAGAAAACGTTTAAATCAGATTCGATATTCGCACAACCGAATCGCTCACTTTAGATCCTCGAAGTTGTGTAGATGTTTACGCCACTTTCGAATCATTCCGTCCCAAGCACGACGGGAAACTTTCCGGAATTTGTTGGGAGTTCGGGGATGATAACGCTCACGCTCCGGTTTCGGAACACTAAGGACGTATTCAGCGTAGCGATCTGTTACCTTGCCCATGTCAATGTCCTTTTGTCTCCGCAGGAGTTCCAACTGCCTTCGTTCCAATTCAATCGGTTCCATTAGACTACCCTTGAGACGAAACGAAAGACAATGAAGACCAAACATAGAGAAAGAACCACTGGGTAGACCACGCTGAATTGTAACGATCTAGTAGCTACATACTTCGAATAAATAATCGCTACCGGTGTACCACCTGCATCATCTGTTCACGGTAAGTGGTTCAGTCCGATCACATTGCGGATGACCGACTACGTTTCACAGTCTACCAGTTCTTTACGCAGTTCAACCCAGACTGTTATCTTGAAGTTCTGAGCGGACCTACCTGACGTGAACAAATGTGTCCTCGTCCGTTAGTTATTGTGTTAAATTGTGTCTCATCAACCAACATATTGTGTGATAAAACGATACACATGAAGTAAAAAAAATTCCTCGACATCCCACGAACGCTTTCGTACACTTGTGACACCCATGACAGGTGCAGATATTCCTTAACATCATTTTGTGTTGGACGTACATTGGCTGTCGAATAGTTTCCATCAAACTTAGTTGTGTCGCATCAAACCTGAATGTTGTTCCAACAGAAACATGAGACAGCCTTCGTGCAACATACTCAGTTAAGGAACAACATAAGAGGAAAATTCAGTGAAGTCTTCTGTTAACTCCATCTTAAGTTGCGAACGAGCGCTAAGCTTCGGAAAACGAGATTTGTTTTACATTGTGCTGTTCCCCCCACTTTAATTCGATGTAACTGTGAAAAACAAGTCTTCCGGTCAGTAGTTGCACACCACAGCTGCTGAGTTTTCTCCCATACAGAGTAGTTTAACGTATCCATTGCAAATAAGCACTTAAAGTTCCACTGTTGATATTCTTCGTCATTGTTCGCAGATCCCAACGTCCGGAAAATACATAAGTGGTTGCATGCTAGGTATGTCGGTTGAAAATGGCTTTTGATGTACTATTTAGAAAAAAACGAATCGGAAGGCAAGCACTGTTTAATCGTGACGTCACGGTGTCCAGAGAACATATGGGTGGAACCACTGAAATCCACATGTTGCGGTGGGATTCGCGGCAAACTAAAGCCGCTAAAAAACAGCTGTGGGACCATATTCATGGAATCCTTCGTCAGGTTTGACCCACACTGACCTATGCTCCAACAAATTGGACATTGCTGCCGCAACTGCCACTATTTCTATGGAAGTAAGCTCCCGGTGTCGAACACCGGGAATAATGGTACGGCATTTCACCGACATGAAGGAGTTCTTCGGGCGAGAAATTTGGGACAGTTTTCTCCATCCTCGATGAAGCACTTCTATTGAAACCAAAGAAGTGATATTGCCTGGTTCCACAAGAGGCTGTCACTCCATCCCCCCCCAACAGAAGACATCACACGTAAGATAACCCACATCATTAACGCATATCCATTCGCTGACCGTTACCTCCAACCGTATAAGCGAGTGGTTAATGGTCGGACTTGACTTGAGAAATAACTCAGGTGAGGATACGCTCACGGTACCAATCGTCGGAACATATCATGATTGCAGTGAGAATTCGGGATGAGACGGAGAAACGCACGATAACGGCAAATAATTGCCGCTGCTTGTGTCGTTAGATTAAAGCAGATCTTCGTGTCTTTTTAGCCATATGGCACGAAAGCCATTCCCTGTGGCAACCTAGACGACGGGGGCTGATGATCATTACACCATAATGCACCGATATTTTTCATCCATGTACATGCAGTAATGATGGAAAAGTGAGATACTTAGTTAATACGAAGTAAGGTGCTCCATGGCGCACTTTCAAAAGCTGTTTAAAACATCCCAAAGAAAGCCCACGCATAGGAAAAGTGCGATATGGTTATTGACAGTAACTCAAGGAGAAAGGGCAGTGGGGCATCGACTACCAGCAGATTATTCGTGTCTGTGATGGGGATCCTACTGAGTGTGCTACGAATGTACCTGGAGTCGCCAGTCGCCATTACAGGCTTCCCTAAATGTTGCATCAGGCTTGGTGTTAAGTAGCATTATTTTCCTACTGAAACTGTTGGCGTTTCAGTTGTATGCTCACTTAGAACTAGCTTGAAAGACGCTATTGAGGCGTTTAAATTCGACGTTCACATGCATCACTGGCACCCCGATCGGATTTGCCGGTCAACAATGGTCAAACCAATGGACACTTGCGCATAGCCACAGATGGCTGGCGCCGATTTAGACTCGAGGGACCAAGTCTGCAACGTAACATCCACCGGCCTGTTCGAACTCACCAGCCGGCCCGAGAACCATGGCATAACAATGGGCACCGGAGTCATCCGTCTGTTCTCCTAAGTTTCAGTAGTCTCAAGTACGGCATCCGGAACACACCATCAAGGAGGTAATGATAACCTGGTTGTATTCTGTTAACCCTATAGTCTATGATGTCATCCTTAGGAAGACAATATGGGGCGGGCACTGATCAGAAAATGGAACAAACTTAACTCGGCTTCAGGTGGTTACGTTCAGCAGGTGGACCGGTGAGTACACTGGTAATCCACAAGGCTGATCCTACTAAGGCACATGCGTCCGCGTGTTGCGCAAATCCAAGTGGACGAGGCTCTATTAAGGATATTGAGTTCCCTCCGAATGTTTCGCTTGTTTTGTAGCGTTGCGATGTGTCGCAAAGCTCCCACGCCTGTATGGATAGCCGTTCTCCAGACCACTCTGTCGAGGACAAGGTACATGATCTAAAATGGAGGTCACAGGTTTCCAAGCGCACCTGTAAGCTATCCCAATAGGGGAATCGTGCGCCTGCTCGTCTGCGAACCACTCTTCGGCTGACCTGAGACACATTTTGAGAAGCGGGTTTTGACGGTTCATTTCAAATGCCCTAGTCGGCGGAGCTGGTTTTGCATCAGTACTCAAATCCAACGGTGTTTGTTCTGAGGAAGCTTGCTGCCAAGATAGCACGGATCTGTGCAGCACACTGACTTTAAAACCGTTGGGCTGAACAATTAGTATTTTATTTCGAATCCTTGGTGCAGGTTGATAAAAGACAAGCATTTCATGTGGAAATTGCGTCCTGTAAGTGAAGCCAATCTATGCTGAAAAGCCGAGAAGCAGTGTACAGCTGTTTCATCCTTATTGGAAATCATCAGCAGTGCGCATCTCACGAAACTCCGAAGAGTCTCGAACCCGCGACCTCCATGCTAGTAGTTTGAACACCGGCCACGAGTGGCCGATGAAACAGCTGTACAGTGCTTCTCGGCTTTTCAGCATAGATTGGTTTCACTTACAGGACGCAATTTCCACAAAAATCCCAAATCCCCTCACACTACCAACAAGCATTTCATATTTATATTTAAGCTCCCATAATTTCGCCCTGCAGATATTTTCAAAAAAGAAACGCCCCCCCCCCAAGAAAGGTATACAGTATTTCCACCAGAGTACTGTGGGATTTCCTACCCCTGGAGGGGCCACCCTTCCTAGAGTTCATGATTGCAACCCCCGACGAGAGTTTTACCTCTGATAAAAAAGGCCATGGACCCCATGGTCAAGAGGAAAATAAAGCGAACAAATGTCTCCAGAGCAGAATGTAAGTTTGGAACTACATACTTTTGGCATACAAGTCAACACGCCGATGGTTTTGAAACAACTAACGTTACTGATCGGGAAGTGTTGACCTGACACTTACAGCACCAAGTTTGGGTTCCTCATTCTCAATGCTGCTTCTCAAGCTTCACCATTCGGACGTTAATAACCCGGTGAGTTTTCACTTCAGTTTGGCAACCAGCATGCGCGTACCTATGAAGGGTTGATCGGATCAACGCAGCTTATGGCAGTGGGTAGTGTAAGATGAGCGGAGTCATTATCAACATCACAGATAGCAGCATCAATCTTGACGGTCATGCTTCGCTGCTGAACAACCACAAAGATAAGTTAACTATACTTAAGGCCTCAAAGTGATAAGAGACAACAACGGATAAGGGAGGGACCTGGTGCTAGTCTATCACGAGCACTCTGAGGTGCCTACACCTCCAAGCGATCAGCCAACATGGAAAGGAACTGACAGTATAAAGCCACAGGGCGATTAACCACCATTTCTTGTAGTGCAAAACAGTGCTCGCGGTGGATGTTGTAACTCCAGGGGCATTAGGTTGACTCCAATTGTAACGAGGCTTCGGGAGTCACCGATCCTTCGGCGACTTACCGAGGCATGTGAAACTTTGACCATTAGCAACATAGCGGGATTTCGACTGCGAAGAGGCTGCGTCAACCACACCTTAACACTCCACCATATGTATCAACAACCCACAATCTTAGTGTTCCTTTACTTCAAGGGTGCGTGATATTCTGTCGACTGGTTAGTGCTTTTAACTGCGCTTACACGACAGGAGACGACCCAAAATATTGTAAACATAATCCTATTCCTATATGCATATACTTCTAGGCGTGAGTGAGCTTTCCTGCGAAAAGTGGTGTCAGAGAAGGATGTCCGATCTCTCCACTCCTGTCCAACTTAATTATTGACCTAACGAAGCAAACGCTGGAAGGTGTTCAAGTCGTTGATATGAACTACACAATCGACATTGTCCTAATCTTTTAAGGCAAAGGCTCTGTTGAATAAGCTGACCAACCAAGAGCACCAAGCGGGATTCCGGCCTGGTAGGGGTTATGTTGACCAAATCTTCACACTGCGTCAGGCGCAAGAACAACGCCACACGTATAAGCGACCCACGATTCTAGTATTCCTGGATTTCCGAGGCGCATTCGACTCGGTTGACCGGTCTGTTCTTATTGAGACGCTTGCCCACCAAGGAACGGCCCGGAAGTTTGTAAAACTACTACGTTCTTTGTATTCTCAGACTTCCGGACGTGTGAGA